TCCATGAGGAATAATGGAAAGAAGTTTCATTGCAAATTGGCGCAAAATATGAGAATTTTCTTTGAATTCAGCCCAGAATGAGTGTGGAGTTGTTGGGAGATTAGAGGGAAGTTTGTCAAAAGGAGGGTAATTGTTTTTGTAATTTATTAATTCTTTATATAAGAGACTCGTGTCTCTTTGATTAAATTTCCACACTTTAGCTAATTCAAGCGAAGCTCTAACTACTGCTTCTCTATCCATAATTTTAGATATAGCCAGTCGCTTATGGGTTGGATAAAGGAAAAGTGCAATAAAGTAAATATCGCTATTAAACTCTCTGGCATGTTTATTAATAATAGCAAGAGTATGAGCCCAAAAACTGTTGATAGGAATTTCGAGCTGGGATATTTGTTGGTGGAGGAAGATAAGTTCTTTAAATACATCAGCCAGAGAAGAATCATTTGATTCTAATTTTCCAATAGCATCAACAACTGGCCTTATTACTTTTGTTAATGTATCATTTGTAGCAAAATGATATCTATTACGGATAAGATTTTTTATTACTGAATTTTCGATTTCAGGATACTTGGGACGTACAGTTTCGCTTAATGAAAGACAATGCCGAAAACCTTCTTCGTAGGTGGATACTCCTATGCAAACTTTAGCAAGTGAATACCACCTAGTTTCACAAAATATAGACAGAAAATAAGTAATTCTATTCTATTCTTTCCAATTTTGCAACTCATGATACCAAATATGTGAAGAGTTAAAAAAATTAACTAGTTTTTGATTCTTTTTACAAATAGCAATAATACTGGGAAAGCTAGAAATATTTTTAACGATTAAATTGAAGACATGTAGATAACAACAAATAGGGATAATATTAGGATATTCTTCCTAAATTTGTATATAAAAAGTAATATTTAATATAGAATACTAATTTTATTTTGAAAAATTATTTAGATTACCCGATTTATATCGATTTATGTTGTAACATAAATCGACATCAATTAAAAAAACCTATGTTAAGCAATCGACGCATTTTATCCATATTTGAAGCATTATCGATAACAATAGCAATAACATTTTTTGTTTGAATTTTATTTGTAGACAACTTCTTTGACTTTGTTTCTAAGGAAATCGCTTGTATGACGATGTGCAGACAAATCAAGAATATTCAGCACATTTTCCTGATTCTTATTTAGAGCCATAAATCTATAAATAGAATTTTCAGAATTGTCAGTCCACCCATCTAAAGAAATGGTAATATCGGTAAGAGAGGGAAGAGTTTTCAACTTATTTTAAAGATGATTAGAAAACATCGTAGTTAAGAAACGTTCTTTAATCATATCTTGGGAGGGAAGATGATAAACAGGATTTAATTCAGAAAGATATTCTTGAAAGTAGGGATTTTCGACGAAATTAAAGAAAAGATTTCCATATATAATAGCCTTTAAAAGTTTTTGATAAAGCTTCTCAGATTGTGTATTAGATAAAAGCTGATTATACCAATTAAGAATAGTACTTTGGCGAGGGGATTCAGATAATTGTTGTGTACTATCATGCTCAGTAGAAATGTTATCATCATTATCATTATGAGCACGTTTATGGGATGTAGAACTTTCATTAGAAATTTTATTAAGATAAATAGCCTTTTCCAATAGAGGCCAATCACTACACTTAAGTACGTGTTGGTGGAGTTTTTCAAGTTTGCTACTAAATTCACTTAAGCAAAATTTACATTTTGCCGTGTATCTGTTTCCTTCTTTTTTTAATTCAAATCGATAAAAGCCAGACCAATGCTGACTTTGTATTGTAAGAGGAAGGGCAAAACCTTGAGGAGTTTCTATATTAAGTTTTTAGAAAATTGGGTTTATTTCAATTGTATTAATTTATTGATCTTTTTTTAGGATGCGTTAAAGACTATCTTTAGGAAATGATGTAATATCAAGTGAAATTTAAGATAAAACACTAAGGGGAATAAATAAATAATTTTAGATTATTTAAATATGATGAAATTGATATAAAGTTGATGATAAGAATAATAGACGATTTATGATCTAAGATTTAGATATAATTTAATTACTGGCAATAAATCAAAATGTAAAATTTATTAAAATAAATAAAATTTTTATTAAAGAATACGATTCTAAAGATTTATTTATTTAGAATCAAATTCCGAAGTTTATTTAGGCCAAAAAGCACGATTTATATACATTTTTCAAATATATAACTTCTACATTTTCTAAATCAAAATCTCTTTCTATTTACAATTTCTCTTGATACTTCACACACCCACCCACTAATAATATCGCACTAATCTTGAATTATGCTTCTCGGCATGAACAGTTGGCTTTGAACATATTTAGGCAAGCTTAAATAACTAAATAGATTTCCAAATATCAAACATTTTGCAATTTTCGTCACGACATCTAATTCTTTTTCTATCTACTATTGTGCATAAATATCAGGTTATATCTTCTAATTTACGCAATTATAGTCACACAATTATGTCTTTATATTAAACCGGGATAGCTTTGAATCTATTTTTTATCTATTTTGATATTTTTCAAACAAAAAATTCTTAATTCTCATCGTGACTTCTAATTTTTATCATGTATATACCTCATATCATTTTTTCTGTAGTCGTTTTGAATACATAGCTGGTACTTGGCTTAGTAATGAACTATAGCTTTATCTGGAACAATACAGAAAAATAATAAAATGCATAAATACACATGTATATAGAAAAAAACTAGAATATACATATTCATATACTCATTTTAGTTAGTCGACTTTTCTTGGATACTTGGAATTGATTGCCAGGTTAAAAATCTCTAAATTGATCATGTTAACTTTGTTCTTTGTAACTTACTTTACTTGAAATGGTAGAAGCAGTAAAATTCTAAGAATAGTTTCAGCATATAGCAATTTCGTTCTAGTTACTCTTATCTTTGCATTCTAATATTTCAGCCATCCTATTACAAAAAAAAATAAAATAATGGTGAAATTATTTGTAAAGCATTAAAACTTTAATCTGTTTTTTTTTTTTGCATGCCAGGTTAGAGATTTATATGGATATATAATAAAACTTCCATAAGTGCGTCCTTTATAAGTGCACACCCTCTTTAAATGCACATTGAAGTTCTGGCTCACTCCTATAAATCACTTTCTCTTATTGATCTCTAAGTGCACATTGTTAAAGCTTGGTCCCAAGAGTGTGTACTTACTGTATATCATAAATTATAGAACTCTACAAGACAATCGTACAATCGTACAAAATACAAAAATTGTGTTATTTCTAATAAAATAGGTAGCCAATCAATTTGTCACAATCCCACGTGATTCATATTTATAATCACATAATAGGAGCATGCCTAGGGGGGTATGCCCCTAAGGCATGCCCCAGGACACCGTGCCCCAACCCTATTAGAGAATAATAAAAAAAGAAAAGTCTGAATATGAGTATCAGGGTAAAAAGTAAACCTTATAAGGGCATAGCAGTTACTAAGCTATACTACAAGTGGAATCTTCGGAGATTGCGAAGACTAGGCTAGCCAGAATGGGTTACGGAAAGCTCTAGTAGGTTTACTTTAAAGATAGCTGTGGTATCTACTTCATGGAGAAATGCAAGCCGGTAATTAGTTGATGCAAACCCAGGATAAATCCACAGAAGTCCTAAGGCGGGATGTGAAATCTACACAGAACAAGCTAGTTCCTTGGTTAGAATGAAATAGTATATATGGTGAAGATCAGAAGGTTTAAATAGGTAGTTCTAGTTTGGGCTGCAGGTATAGGCATCTAGTATAGACAGCACCAAAAGCGCAGTGGCTAGTTGTATTTTTGTTGTAACCAGTATCATTGATTTCTAATAAAAAGTCTTCCTTGGCCAAAGAGGTTACCTTAATACCAAAAAAAAAAAAAATAACTTTTAGAAAATTAGTAATACCTAATTTTTCATTATTATTTATTTATGTGATTGTTTAAAATTTGTAACATATATAGGTAATTATAGTTAGTAATTATTTTTGAACGATTATCTATTATTAATTTATATAATTGCATATTTAATGATATAATATATGCAGGTAATTAAAGTTAAAGTATAATAGTAATTATTTAAATGATTATTCTTATTTGTCATTATTATTATTTATTAACAGATATGGTATGGGGCTTTCACTATTTGTTGGGTTTGATAACAACTAATAAAATATATTACTCGCTCAAGGATTATTAATTAATGAAATCCACAAATCACATGTTTGGCTATTTAATGAAATTGTTAAAGCAACCAGTATAGAACCTGTAGTTATATTAACTAATTCAGACCCTGCTGTTGACTTAGCTATAAAAGAAGTATTTAAATCAACGTATCTAATTCATTGCACTTTTTACATAACTCAAAATCTTCACAAAAATTTTCAAAAACCCCTGAACATACAATACAACCAATTTCTTACAGATTTCTATAAATGTCAAAATAGTTTAGTAAAAGCCACATTTGAAGACAAATTTACAAAATTAGGTTATGATTATCCAAGAGCTAAACCTTATTTAAATAACTTATATAAATCAAAAGCATACTAGGCACATTCATATACAAGCTTTAAATTTACTAAAGAGATGATTGCAATATCTAAAGTAGAGGCTATGAATGCATGTCTGAAAAGAGTTTTACATAGTTCTAATATATCACTTAATGAATTAATGCAAGAAATACATAATATGCTTGACCATCAAGATAAAGAATCTGAATATTTATTTTGGAAACTCGCAATTCTTTCTATTAAAAGTAATTACTAGGCAAACTTCTTATTTACACATATAGACAAATGTTGTCAAACATACCTTACTTCAAATATATTAAAAATGCAAAAAGACGAAATTAACTAATCAGTTTATTACTTAGCACAAACGATTAGTATGGAGAGTCTAAAAAGTATAAATGAGGTAAAAATAGGTTAATTATTTTTTACATATTATAAATTTAACAATCTATTTTTTTCTAGAATGATATTATGATTAATATTGAAGAAGAAAATCCTGAAAACCAATATGCAACTATCCAACAAATGTTAGAAGTAGTTGGTGAAAGAAATATAGTTGAAGCATGGTTAATTAAAGTCAAAAATGCATTAACTGCAAAACATTTTATTGTATGATTAAAAAACAATACACATCTTTGTTCATATCTAACTATTATTTGACAAGAAATTATTTATAGGCACTACTTTTAGGTAATGCTAAACACTAATATGGCAAAGTTTTATATTTGTCTCATTCTATCTAGGTAGTACTATAAATATATAGATATCTCAAAAGAAACATTTATTACAGCTAACAAATACGAAAGTGAAGAAGCATCTAATTATGATATTCCATATCTTTTTCCTTTTTATAATCAAGAAAAGGACTTTTTACAGAAAAATCTTAGTCTTCTTGAACAAAAATTAGTTTATAGTATATTACATAATATTTACAAGAAGGCAATAAGTAAAGTGTTACAGTCTAAATCTAAGTCAGATTGCCTTTTAAAGTTATTGGAATATTTTGTTTAAGAATGTGACTAATCAGAAGATAGTTCTAGTGATGATAATCACTCAGATGAATCTGCAAGTGAAAAAGAATTTTAACTAAAAAACCCTAAACAATGACAAGGCAGAGGATGACCTCCAGGCACCAAGAGAATTAAAGTGTCACATAAAAATCTTAACCTGGTGCCACTAAAAAAAAAAAAGAATCTGCAAGAAATGCGGTGGTATTGGACACTATTAAAAAAATTATACAGTTGGTACTGTGATGAAAATTCCAAATATTTTATCAAGAATACCAAGAATTAGATCGCAATGCATGCTGGAGGATGGGTTTTACATGGAAGGCATTCGGACAAAGATTGTTTTTGTATTATTTATATAATTATATATTTATTTAATAATAAGAATTTGTATAAAATATAAGAATATGTAATGAACATGTTATTACAAAGAGACAAATAATGCCTTTAAATACATGTTTTAGAGAAAAAGTAAAAGAAATCTAATAGATTCTCTAAAAATAAGTAGATTGTTTGGGTTGTTTTGGTTGTGTAGATTGTATAAACCTTACAGAAGTGTGTAGGTTGTATAGGATACATAGGCCTTGTAAATGCATATGCATAGACTACATATAGGCCATGGTACTCCTATATGGGGTAAGTTAACTAATTGTAATACACAAATAAAAGAGGTAACTGTCATGTGCTAGAAAAATAGTCACATACTATAAACTAACTACTATAATACCATGATATTATAATTTTTATCACAATATCTAAAATTTTACTTTTTCCTATATTATTAGTAATTTAATATTAAGAAAAATTATTTGGATTTTTAGGTCTATAATAATTAAAAGCAAAGATTTTATTGATATAAGTTATCTATATTTACTATTGATCTTTATTACCTTTAAATACATGGGTGCCTAAATTATTTTTGAAAAATCATACTTTCGACAAACTTTTTAAACTTTTCGGTATTGTTAAATTTTTATATAGAACTTTGCGAAATAACTATATTATTATGTGTTTTAATAAAAAGAGTTCAGCAAATAAGAAACTTAATTTTAAAACTATATAACTAATTTCAGCTGCCTAAATGCTGTTATTACTTTTTTAAGATGAAAAATTTAGGCACCTACTGTATATATACCTTTAGTATAAGTATAGTCATTAATCTTTAGTACTAATTATTGAATAGTCTTACATTCTAATTAATATTTAGGTATTATCATTACTGAAATTTATTTAGCAAGAATCGTTGATAGTTATCACTTAAGTATTAATAAACCTTTCACACTTTACTTAACTAGAACTTAATCATTATATTTTTTTGTTCTTAAATGTTATTTTGTGCCTCATCAATTATATTATCACCCAATTTACAAATTAATATAATGTATGCTAAAGGTTAGTAATTAAATGATAGCTATAATAATCCTTGTATATGATAAAACAAATAAATATGAATGATTCTTATTAGCAAACATACTACGTATACATTTTATTTACGCTAATCATTCTATATTTAATATAACTTTCTTTAATATTATGTCAAACAAAAAATTGAGTTGGTTTAGACTAAACTAGAGATGTACTATCAAACACTTATTAGTGTGAGAGTTAATTTTTACATAGCTAATGATATAAAAATCACAACAAATATCAACAATTATCTAAGTTAAAACACATTGTATATTTTCATTAGTTATTCTCTATAATACCTTCTTCATATCATTTTATATTTTAATTGCTTTAAGTTAGAGCTAGATTTTTCGAATATCTGTCATAGCTATTCTCTAAATATTCACAAATGTTCATTGAATATTATATTATACAGTATAAGTTCTAATTATATTTTAAGTAAATTTTTATCGAATATTTATGACTTGACTATTTCCGAATTTTCTATAACTAAATATTTGCTTTTAATTGAATATTTATTTTTATTCGTGAATATTTATAGATCCCATCTCTATTTAGCTTTTTTTTTATCTTGTTCTATTAATATTTCAATTTTCAACTTATAAAGACAATCAAAAAATAATACAGATATAAATTAAAATTTAAAGCATGTTTATTAAGATACAATGATATTAAAGTACTTTAAAACCTCAAATTGTCACAATTTCATCCCAACTGCTCCTTTTTTACACATTCTCCTCTTATTTTAATAAGATATCACAAAAAGAAAAAAAAAATACAACCAATTATATTATAAAACAAGTTAACAATTACTATAAAATATACTTAACTATAACTCAAAATACAGTATCCTTATTTTTAATGCTACAATTGGAAGTTCCATGAGCAAATTCAGGCCTTATTTCAATGCAATTATCAAAAGTTCTTTGTCCACTTTATATACACCATTGACTATAATACTTAGATTTTGGCTTGATAAAATTTACGAGATGACATAAAGCATAACTCTATAAATATAGCTTGAATGTGATTCTCAGAAGACAATGCATTAATATGTAGTAAAACAATCAAATAAATCTAAAAAATATATATTAAAAGACATACCTGTGATCCCAGCAAACATAATGTGATGAAAGTTGATAAAAGTGAAGGAGAGTTGATCTTGAGATGTGGATGCTCATTCAATTAGTAAAAAGCTATTGATGAATAATAAGTTTGATGATAATATAAAGTTGGGTGATCAGTTTTAAGAAGCAATAATAGTATGAATTAGAAAAGATGTAATTAATAATGATAAAGTAATTTAGTTATGATGTACAAAATGGACAGTGATAGAGAAAATAAGAATAAAAAAAAAGGAATAACAGTTAGTAAAAGAGGCATTTATAAAACGTGTCAGGCAATGATAAGAAAAATTAAATTTACCTATGTTGAAGTCACCATAGAACTTAGGATCTATTATCCATAAAGTTTTTTAAGATGCAAAATTATGTGGTTAGAAGAAATTTGCCAATATTTCAAGCTCATATAAAAGTCATCTTTTACACAATTAAGAAAACACATTACCATAATTTTCCAAGTCTCAATTGTCCAATTAATACTATAACGCCAAGCTGATACTCTAATATTATAGCGCTAATCTGGTACTCTTGAATAGCGAAGCATAAGTTTTGATCATCTACAGCATGAAAGTCAAAAGTCTAAGATCTTGAACAAAAGTCTTGTAGTCAGAAACACATTTATTAAAATGTAAAAGTTCAAGTTAATAAAGTAACGAACCTTAAGTAAATCTAAATTCTAAATAGTAGAAAAGTATAAAAGTTCAAGTTAATAAAATAATGAATTTTAAGTAAAACTAAATTCTAAATAGTAGAGAAGCATAAAAGTTCAAGTTAATAAAGTAACAAATCTAAAGTAAATCTAAATTCTAAATAGTAGGAAAGTATAAAAGCTCAAATTAATAAAGTAACAAACCTTAAGTAGTGAAAAGATAATTTTAAATTCTAAATAGTAGAGAAGTATAAAAGCTCAAGTTAATAAAGTAACGAACTTTAAGTAAAACTAAATTCTAAATAGTAGGGAAGTGTAAAATAAAGTAACGAACCTTAAATAAAACTAAATTCTAAATAGTAGAAAGTATAAAAGTTTAAGTTAATAAAGTAATTAATCTAAATTTTAAATAGTAGAGAAGTGTAAAAGCTCAAGTTAATAAAGTAACGAGCCTTAAGTAGCAAAGAGATAATTCTAAATTCTAAATAGTAGGGAAGCATAAAAGTTCAAGTTAATAAAGCAATAAACCTTAAGTGAATCTAAATTCTAAATAGTAGAAAAGTGTAAAAGCTCAAGTTAATAAAATAACAAACTTTAAGTAGTGAAGAAGTAATTCTAAATTCTAAATAGTAGGGAAGCATAAAAGCTCAAGTTAATAAAATAATAAACCTTAAGTAAAACTAAATTCTAAATAGTAGGGAAGTGTAAAAGTTTAAGTTAATAAAGTAATGAACTTTAAGTAGCAAAGAAGTAATTCTAAATTCTAAATAGTAGAGAAGTGTAAAAGCTCAAGTTAATAAAGTAACGAAAGATCAACTCTTCTCGTCGATCACCTGGACCAAATTTTCTGCTAACGAAAAACAAGTTTTTGTTAGAGAGTTGTAGCCTAACTTGCGGTTTGGCAAGAGGTTAATAGTTCTCTCTGCCCAGAACTTCTCTTTAGGCTGTTCGGCATACAAGCCAAAAGTATTGGTATTCAAGATAACTGGCAGGTGGTGCCCTTGGATATAAAATCTTGGTAGAGAGGCAAAGATATAGTATCTATCGACAAAGCTTTTAGGCTGTTACTTCTTGAAAGAACACAGGGGAAACAACAAACAACTTGGGATTTCAACACACTCTTTAGAAAATTTTGAAGTTTTTGTAGCCATATACTCTCAACTATATTCCCGCTAGGTTTTAGATTTTTGGAAAATTTTTACTAACAAAAAGTAGGAGAATCGGCTTACCCCCTCCAAAAGATCTGCATTGTTTACAGATTCTGATGTGAAATGGGACACTCCCAATTATGATAACTAGTAGTACGTATTGTGCTATTTTAGTACTAGGTAAACTGCTATCAGTGGGTACGAATTAGGAGATAAACAAGAGTCACAAGTCTATGTGTAGGATAATGACTGATGTTGATGCGAAGTAGAGGATTATCTAAGAATTTCTTGCAGGGCTAACTTTACCCCGAAGGTGGATTTAAATATAATGCAGACTTTATTTAGAGTAAAGCTAAATAGAAGAGTATTATATAATTTTTATAACAACCTGACATTTTTATTGGGACTTATTTCTTTTTGTCTGTTTTTTTCTTTTTTCACAATCTGTATCTTTTATTTTCTTTTTCTTTTGTTTTTTCTTTTTTGGTCATTTTCTTGAAAAAATTCTTTTTGTTTTTGCCCCTCTTTATCTTATGCCTTTTGAGAAGAGGGAAAAATTAAAAGGAAAAAAATTCAGTCTTGACATGGTGAACAACAACCTGTCAGTGATCAAGGGGTATACCCAAGTTGGTACGAAATCCTTAGTAAGTTTTGGATCCTAAGAGAGACTAATTGTTGTTTTAGTGGGTCGCTTTGGGCTTCGGCTTAATGAGTTTTTATTAGATTAGAACATTAAACTTCAAAGAGATTATGT